TTGATCAAGGTATGTTAAGATCAGTCAGTCAGTAACAACATAGAACTTCGTACGTAAGTACATCAGTTCGAGTTGCCACACCGAATTAGCACAGAGATGCAGTTGTCGACCCAAATCCCATAATGATAGAGGTAGTAAAAGTATGAGCAGTAATCGGAAACATTAGGGTTTGAAGATGTTATTCAAGGAGTATAATCCAGTGAAATAAATTTGAAAAAAGAAAAGAAAGGACACAAAGAATTCAGAAGATTAGAATTTGGGAGAACACAAAGAGTGGATGCACTTGCGCCATCGCAAACGATTTTGAGCCATGTCATTCAGGGTCTCTAACCATCGGTTTCTATCATCTTGCGGATCCCAACCAGGTAATCTACACCTACCAACATGGCTCAATCCACTTGTCAGTGACTTCATGGATTTGTGCCATGTTTTGGTCTGGCCGCCCCTTGCTTTCTTCCAACCTACTCCTATACCATTAAACATCGCATGTCGAGGCAGTCGGTGGTTTTTAGCGAGTTAGTTTTCTATGGGATGGGGTCACTAACCTCATGCTCAACCCTCCTCCTTTATCCGGGCTTGGGACCGGAAGTAGCACCAGAGGTGCTTCAAGCGGAGTAATAAGCACCATTCATTTATTTATTGAACATAATATTTATATGATTAGATCCCAATGCTAGATCAATGTATCTATTATCTTATCATACTATTATTAGATATTAAATATTAGATACATTGATCTAGCATTAGGATCTAATCATATAAAAATTATGTTCAATAAATAAATGAATGGTACTTATAACTCCGCTTGGAGCCCCTCTGGGGCTACTGTCGGTCCCAAGCCCGGATAAAGGAGGAGGGTTGAGCAGTGAGTTAGCGACCCTATCCCATAGAAAACTAACTCGCTAAAAAAGACGCTAACCAAAATAGTAATTCAAATAATTGTATAGCATAATGAATTACTTTTTAAGCTTCTAAAGTGATAATTAATGAAATGACGTCTTCATGTTCATTGAATAATGGAATAAAAGGAAAACTTATCTAATGAATCTTAAAACAGAATAAACATTGGCCTTAAATTCTAATGTTCACCATGATCTATGATGTAATTCTTACAGAGGTGAATTAGATATCTATTTCATAAATTAAATCTTTAAAGCTTACCGCATTATACTCTTGTTAATACAAGTATTATATACCTGTATAGACTGTTGCTTTTTTTAACAGTTACTTAGGAAAACTTAGATAAAACTTGTATTCGATCACAATTCCCCAACTTACATCAACTAACCATTGATAATATAAGTAGTAAATGACTTAATTTAATAATAGTATTAATAACGGAACTCAAAACAATCGTCAATCAACACCGAAGTCAGGATTTTCAATATAAATGTTAAGATAGTTCTAATGTATGGGGCGGAAACCTGGACAACTACGAAAGCCATCATCCAGAAGATACAAGTGTTTATTAACAGTTTTCTATGCAAAATACTTCGGATTTGTTGAACAAACACTATCAACAACAACCTATTGTGGGAGAGAACAAACCAGATTCCAACAGGGGGAGAAATCAGGAAGAAGCACTGGAAGTGGATAGGGCACATATTGAAGAAAGCACCCAACTGCGTCACAAGGAAAGCCCTCACTTGGAACCCTCAAAACCAATCGGAAAGATGAAGACCGAAGAATACATTACACTGAGAAATGGGGACAGATATGAAAAGAATGAACGACAACTGGATAGAACTAGAAAGGAAGCCGGAGGACGGAGTGGGTTGGAGAATGTTGGTGGGTAGCTTATGCTCCATTGAGAGTAACAGTCGTAAGTATGTAGTTAGTAAGTTATTAATAACAAAAACAGTTCTAGGGTTATAAATGGAATATGCGAATGAAAACTATAAAATTACATTAAAACCAAATATTTCTAAGGAGAGAAAATCAAATGAATATGTTAATATTACTACTATAGTTATTCGTCAATGATAGTCATTTAAACTTTCATATTGTAAATCATGATTTTTGTAAACTTTAATTAAGAATTTTATACTACTAACAAAGATTGAACCAATAACTTCTTGATTTAATGATTAAACAAATTCATAACTTTTAGAATTAAGATAAGTAAAGATCTAAGAATGCTTTTTCCAAAAACAAAGTAATTAGTAATGTAATTTTGCATCTAAATTGGTTGGTTATTCTATACACTGCTTAACAATGTCGTGTTTATTTATTCATATTGAACTGAGAGACGAAATCTTATATTCTAGCAGCTGGTTGAATTTAACCACATTGATAGTATGATATGTATTACTAATGATAGAGAATTTCGATCTCAAAATAGTATCATCTAGTTAGGTGATTTAATGTGGTATGGAAATTCGAAACAATGTAATTATGTGCCATGGTGTACTTTGCGTTTACGGACTGACTTAGTTAATCAAACATGAAAGTATTTTTATTATTTAGTTTAAATGTGGTACAGCGCTTTAGGTTTTGTGTTAACTACGTTAATTACTTACAATCTAAAGCTCTTATGATTAGAATTAAACACAAACTCTCCTCTTTCAAAGCTTTGAAATAATTGCATTCCTGTATAATTCATTGTCAAACAACTATAAAGAGAAATTGAAAAAAAACTCGAACAAACGAATACTTAATACTTAAGTCAGTAAATCACACGTCAATTATATTTTTATGATCATCTTATGCTTATCTAAGTGTATGAGTCCTTAAAGCCCACACGGTTGACTGAGGATTGGTATTTCTGACAACTGTCTAGTTTGAGTCCGCCGAATAACGTTTAGTCGATAATTATTGATGTATATAATGACAAACGTTCGTTTGCTGAACTTTGAGACAAAACATCAGTTATTGACTGCCATGTACGTAGTTTCATATTATGTGGTTGAGCTCCACCCGAGTTTAGTAACTGAAAAATAAAGACACTATATGCCACGGCTGAAATCGGTCATAATGGTGTAGGTGTACATGCCATTTATTTTATATCAGGTGCACAGTCTCAACTACCCCCTATAATATTTTTTCCTATATCTAGTCTCTACTACCGCTATTTATACTGTTACTGATCCTAATACTCTCGGAAATGCCGTGTTAGTCTCATCTTGATGTGTTAAAGTGGAGTGATAACTTGAACTGACCCATATAAGTGCCGCGTTACTACACTCTAAATGACTTACCCGCTGATAGATATATATCTGCTTTGTATTTCATTTTGATTTCGATTTCAAACTCGATGGTTTTTAAAATCCAACAATGTAGAACGATATAATTTACTTCAATGCTCTAACATCGTGCAACACTATTCAATTCGAACGACAGATCTTAATAAATAATACTCTCTTCAATTACATCCCTTTCAATTTTTACTCGAGTATACGGTAATATTTATATACACATATATGAAATAATATCAAGCTAATCAAGGTAATCTAAGTCATTTACAACGAGAAAATAGATTACATGAAAAAACGCAAAAGGTACAAATTAGTAATGTGATTACGAGTGAACTAATTATGGCAAAACAAATAAAGACCTGAATGAATGTTTTATGATAGGAAGTAGACCGAGAACTTGAAAAAACAGACATTAAAATAACATACATGAGAAGCTATGAAGATTACATAGTAAAAGGTTCACAAATAATAAAACACGAAAGAATATATTTATAAACGGATCAAAAAATAAATAAACAAATAATTTTGAGGATAGTAGTGAGCGAAATCGTTTGTTAGACTTAATTTGGCTAAGGCAGAAACAAGGGTGTTACGAATTTCTTAAGAATATAAAGTTTTGAGTTGATAGCTCGAATCCACCAAACTTCTGTTAGATGTAAGACTCGAAATAAAAACCGACGAGAAAAGTGGTAGGTGTGCGACAAACTACTTTACATTACTTAGTTTAAACTATTGCATGACTACTATCTATCAAATGTGACATCAAGGAGTTTTATAGATTTTATTTATTGATATTATCACTCACTCATAAATTCCTCTGACTGGTATGATACTTTCAGATATACTTATGAATATTACTGCACATTAAAGTAAAGCCTGATGAGGACTTAAATAAAAACATTATTTCTTATACATGTCCAAAACTAAAGATTTTAACAATTCAAGATAGTTCGGAATAAAATAACCTCTCTTGACACCGCGGCGCTTTAATTAGAAACTTTCTTCATACTCATTCATGTAGCTACATTTTAATGTGTATTTGTAGATGTCAATTAAATGCTGACGAATATATCTTTAAAAATTCACCAACCTTATGAAGTTAGTCAGACTAATCTGGGCTTTAATTTTTGCTAATGTCTTTGGAAATGAAGTGTACTGCTCTGAAAATCTTGCTTAATAATGAATTTCAATCTAAAGGTAATATAGTTCCTTGAAATGATAGTATGTGATGAATAACTTAGTTTTCTATTCATCGTAGGTCCGTCCAAACCCGTAAATATTTCGGTTCAATGAGTCATATCTTATAAGAACACAATAATAAATGTTGAATCCGGAACTAATGATTGCAATTGACTGTCAATTTCTTCATGCTACTTAATACACTATTTCTATATTGAATTACAGAAAAAGGAGTCAAGTACTTTTTAATTACACCCCACTAAAAAACCATATGTGAAATCTACATATTTTAATCTCCAAAGAGCAGCTATTTTTGACAATCCGCTTTTTTAAGAACTAAATTATTGTCAAATAAAGATCTGCTTAAACATTCCTTCGATGTCGCGTCGAAAAATTTGCATGTAATACTATTTTATACAGTAATCAGTGCTATTCTGACACCAGTATAGCAGAGCAATCGTAACCTTATGACGCTGTGAATAACTAAGCTCAAAAATGATCTTGGTACTAACAGTCTACATGATGTGAATGAACAATTCTAAATGTCAAAAAGTTGCTTTATTTTAAATCAATGCATTATAAATTGAACGAAGACGAATGATTATAAATTATATATGCAAACCTCACTTTAAACGTCGGAAGAGAATTCGATGCAAAGTCTTGTGACATCTAGTTAAAATATTTGCACATTTCTTTGAAAGATTGAAAAGTGCTTCTAACAGTCAAGGTCACAAAAATATCATCAATCTTATCATTTAAACAAACCAAAACAGATTAAACAAGGTTTTCATTTGGACGTGGAAGGAACAAAATTTCAAGCTTTTACATCTGGTAATATTTCTTAGTCAAAGTTTATCAACGCTTGAAAGAGAATCCTAATCTTTATAAGTTTGATGCAGAAACCAATCAATCCACAATGATTTTGATCATATTATACTGAATTCGATGTTTTGAAAACAAACATCAGATATTATCCAAGTTTTAGGTTAATAAATTATGATAGTTTCAAATTCTAATCGTAAATATGCAGTTTCGCTAAATACGACCAAAAAAATCTCAAACTGAGGAAGAATGAAGATGAGATGCGATTGTCGATTATAATTCACTCAGACACACCTTTATCACATCCAATTCCAAAGTCTGTCTGCAACTACAGATCATCTGAAATGTCACTGGAACCTAACCGAACCATTCGGCAGTCGAGTCACTGGTTGTCGAATAGTTCATTTATTCTCGTAAAAATCAATGCCAACCGAAAAATATCAGTTAACTGTAGGCCATGAACTGGCCCACACGGTAGTGGTTAAACGTTATTCCTTACACCCACTTTTATTGATATCATCGTTATAGCAGCTCACGAGTTTATTCACGTTTCATTTTGTAAAGCCCTTTTGTTAACCTATTTAACGGATAGAGTCATCTGGACATTAACAGTTTATCTCATATCATTATACCTTTATTATTGTTGTACTACTATGAATATGTATGCTTGAGAATTGCTTACTGCCTACTCGTATATTCATTCTGCTAGCCTTACTGTTAGTCACTTAATTGATTTGATGATTCATTCATTTCGCTATATATATATACATTTCAATCGTGTACATGGACTCGTTTGTCTGCTAGCACTTCGACATTATTCCTACATGCTTGCTTAGAATTCCTGTAATCATGGTTATCTGTACATGCTGCAATAATGAACGTAATCAGCACTTCGTATTCACCTTCTGATAAATACACTGTTGGGGAGTTACTGTCCAACAAAAAAGCTGAGGAGGCATTTTCATCGTTCTCTTTCCGTTACAACCATCAACCGACTTCGCGGTAATCCACGGAAATGGGAATTGAATGATACCACGAGTACTGCATTCTCAGAGGTCAAAACGGCTATGGCTCAAGTTACTTTCCTCGATAATCCTTGCCTATCAAACACGCTTAGTATAGCGGTTAATGCATCGGATTTTGCTATCATGCTGTTATACAACAGAACATCTCTGGAAGTCGGCAACCTCTCGAATTTTTCCTACGGAGACGAGATATCGTGCTTTTGGTCGAGAACTACTAACAGCCTAGTGTGCCACCAAACATTTCCAACACGCAGTAGAAGGTCGCGATTTCATCTTGTTCACCGACCTTGAGTCTTTAACGTATGCTCTGACCGCTGCTCACCACGAGAGTGCAGACATTTGGACTATATCTCTCAGTTCACGATGGACCTTTGTCACACCAAATGCGATTAGAACTATGTCGCCGATGCCCTGTCACGTATTCAAATGAATGCAGTTACTTTACCGTTGCTCGATCTTCCTGCTATGGCTGCCGCCCAGGCAAACGATCTCTTTTGTACAGAAACACCACAATGCACATCCGTTCAGTGCCTAGGAGTACCCCTAGCTACTAGCTCAGGTACTACCCTTGTTAACTTCTACTGGTTTTCCCCGATGACACGGCATAGGACTCTATGCCTATACAACATACATACCACATCTTTTCTCTTTTTCTTTTATTTTTTTGTACCCTGAGCCCACGCCGACGACCATCGTCCGTTTGGTACCGTCGACTTCAGTCAAGTTCGTCGAAAGCTGACCTGATCACCCACGCTTTTATCAACGCACTCAGTCGATGTTCTTGTTCCGAATATGTCTGGCATATATTTGGTCTCGCGCTTAGTTGTTATGGTCGCTTCTGGTTTATTGGCTCAACGTGGTTCCATCCTACGTCTGCAGCGTTTTCTGGTCAGGACCCATACGAACGCAATCCCCAAATCCTGGATACAAACCACTCTGGTGTGGCATTCTAACTCGAACAACAAATACAGCACGTTTCTCCTGGTACCATTCTACGTAAAGGACCTTCGGTGATAACTTGAGGATCAACGATCGCTTCTGGTTCTTCCAACCCTCTCGTCCTACAATCACACGTTTGCAGATCAGTCTCACGAACGAAACCACTACGTATCTGAGAGTAGACCTTTTCTAGTGGGGGGGCTCTTGTAGTGAGCTACTTTTATCAAGAGAACGCGATTGGTGTGATAGAAACAACTATTATCATCAATTGTACCATGGATTGTTTTACCGCACTTGTTTGTTTGACTGTACCAAAATACATACATTCTTCCGTTGATTGTGACCTTGCGCGAACTTACCTTTGCTAAATTATTCCACTTGTACTTCTTTGGTACGATCTCGGTATTATTTCGATACCACGAGATTGCCAACAAATACATCTCGAATACAGACATCAACTGCCTTCCAATATTTGGCCAACGGGGGATCTTATCGATTAACTGGCACATAGTATTCCTTTAGTGGTGTTCATAGTCAACCGCGACTCGACGCCACACTACTTACTCATGACAGATTAGTACTCCTACGCGTGGTTATTGAAGGGATCGTTTGCAAAACGTATAGCTATGTGGAATTATATTGAACAAAACTTTTTTGACATTCGGACAAATGTAACTTACAACGTTGGTAACACACACATCTCTCAACGATGGGAAACCATGAGTGCAGTAAAAAGAAGCAATTTGGAGTCGTTTCAAAAGATGGCGACTGCAATAAAACTGGAAACTAAACTAAACCGAAGTCAGGACGAACTACGGCATCCATATTAGCTTAAAATCATGCTGGAAATGGTATACATCCTCTCATTATCTTACAGATCTCGTTAACCTCTAAGGTGAGTGACAGTAATGTGTAACACTTCGTCTCCAAATTTGTGAGACTTAATTTTTTTTCGGTTTTATATTGCTCAGAAGAAATGGTCCTCAATAAGAAAAGCAATTGTTCTTCTGTAAAACTGCTTTCCTATTACGGAACTCGCTGCAGGTATGAAATATTATTTGCGAAGATGAAGTGATAAGGAACTTTTTCTAGATGGTTCTATTTTTGCAGACCAGATATTCTTAGATTGTTCGTAGTTCAGAGGTAAGTCCTATGGTATTATTCATCGGCCATGTGAACATTCTTCAACAAGTCTCAAATAATTTTTGATATTGGCCACCAACACAGTGACGAATAATAAAGAGTGAAAATAAACCGAACATTACAGCATCACATAGTACCGATTTTCCATTATTGCTTTATGGTTACTAGGTCAATAAAAAGGGATAAATCAAGGGAATTTGGAGAATAAACAAGTGTTTGATTGAAGACAGTTATACATTTAAATAAGGTCCCCATGTTACAAGACAATCGACAAATGAAAACAAATGAGAAATGTTTTGAGTGCATTGGCTTGTCAAGTGCTCTGTAGACTGAACAATTTCGTCAGAACCTTTCGATTTTGCCTTCATTTTAAAAATTGTTTTCCTTGTGGTAACTTAATATTTGGTGCTGCAAAAGGACTCTTACCTCGTCAGAGTTATTCGTGGCAAAACAAAATCAGCGCAAATGTCCTACCCTTTCAGATTTACTACCAGCAGCAGATCAATTATGTCATCGTCTGATCCATGCTTAACGTTCGGATAGTACTTTTGTTCAAACTTCTGGACCTTGGCGAAATTTATAAACGGATTTGATGAGTTTGTACAAGTAGGTGAGGAATATAATGTAATTCAGGTTAGATAAATGCTTCAATCGGGCGAAATCATATGAACAGGCGGCGCTCGAAAAACAGTTCAGGTGTTAGGTCAATATTCAGAGCACAAAGTAGTTTCACTTATAATATCCTTGACAGTAACTGCTTCAGTCCATCGCGTGAAACAACCCAAGCAAAGTATTTCATTCACTTAATGTTTTTAATTAAAGCAAGGAAATACTGTTCCACTTTGAAGGTGAAACTTATGAAAAAAAGCTTCCACTATATAGTTATTTGCTCACTCTTGACAACATTACAGTATGTAAACCAAATCACCGTTGTCAACCGATTATATCAACTCTCCCAATTACAGATTTTAAGTAATTTTGAGACATCTCGAATGATCTTAGCACCTAAATATCTGGAATCTCTACGTTTCGACAGTTCGGTCTAAAACCTTGATAAATGACTTTAATTTCCTTGAATAATTTGTGCTGGCAAAGTTGCTGCGAGAAAAGATAGAAACAAATAGAAGAAAGCAAGGACTAGCTGTACCAGCTGTACCATCGATACACTCATCCATATAACACACAGTTCAACACACATACTTCTCACACCTTAAGGGTGCCATCTTTTCCCAAAGCGTCTGGTACGACATTTGCACCACCTTGTCAAGTATATTCGACTACACTAGGGATTAGTCAAAGTGACATACGGATTTCAGAAAAATCTAGAACGAGCGGATTCAGGATATCCTTCAAGTAGTAAGAATATACGAATCTTACTCTTGATTCATCGAGTCATTGGCGTCTCGACTGCATGGACGCAGATTTTGTGACCGAATCCGGAGCACAGTCACATTACTAGATGTACGAATTAAATAATGCTTAAGCTGATACTGTTGTGACTTATTAACGGTTAAACGTTATTCAGAACAAAATCAACGTGACTTAACCAAAGATGAACTACATATTTCACTGTAACGCCTGGTTAGGAAGTAACGGGTTAGCATAGAATATAATGACACGTGGTCTACATATGACACATCCCATGTACATACCACTTACATAATTTGATGAAAGACAAGAAGTTCTCCCTTGTCTAATGTGAAAATAAGCAAACCACTTGAGACTACAATTTACAATAGT